GTCTTCATTCTTGACACTCAGTTACGGTCGGGTTACGCTAACCCCGCCTGTCAGAAAGACATCGATAACGATTCTGATTCTGCTATTAATACAGGCTTACCTCCACCGACTGTTATGTGTTCTCAACTTTCACCCCCTGTTTCCACAGTTGCCTTGGTTGAGCCTGAGTCAGATGTCATTGAAAAGGCTTTAGCAGTCGAAGACTCAGCACTGTGCGCGGAAGAATTCTCCACGAAATTGACATCTTCTTGGTCACACTTGAACGGACTACGCCAGGGCGAGCTCACCGATTGTAAGGTCGGCAAACCCATGGGTACTGTTATCCGGGAGACTCTTTAGATAAAATACTAGCGCCTAAATAAAGTAGGAAGACCGTTTGCCGTAGAAACATTGCTGGAATGTACATATGACAGAATATTGCAGCACGCTGTCGATTACCGTGTTGCCAACAGGGAGAATAATAGGACGGAGCACATTAAACCATTGTACGACTCCGAGTTCTCGGGCACTTCGGCAGCGACCGACAATCACTCATGAAAAAATGCACGTGCACTGGCTATTGCGCGTTCGTCTTCTGTGCACAAAAGGGAGGCCAAGGATGTCGCACCGAACAGGTCACTTGGTAGATGCGATCAAGATATTGCTATACAGTCAGACATAAGCACAACCGTCCGAAGTCCAGCTCCAGATTTTGGGGAATACCCCCCAGTCTGCACAGAAGCAGGACTGGTCTTGGAGTCGAGGAGCCAGCACGCATCAACCGTTCAAGCAAGTCCATGTTGAAGAGGCTCGAATAACGTCACTTTCACCAGACAGTTTGGAATGGATGCGAATCTGCTGGGAGTTGTCCAGCAGTGACGACTTATTCAAGCATTATGAGGTGAAAGCCATACAAGCACGTTATTTGGCAGGCGTTTATTGGCGTCGTTGGACGAAAGAATCCTTTCCCACACTACCACTAGGTACCAGGTTGCTTCAAGCGTATAGGGAACTGAAAGTGTGGGGGCGTTTGCCACTAGGGATCATTGTATGATGTTAATTTGGCTAAGTAAAGCCCGTATACAGGATAAAGGCGGGCGGCGTCCAAAAAGGGGGCATTTGAAGGGATGTTCCTTGCAACATGGCTGCTAGGGGTGACGGATACACGTAAAGAGGTACGAATGAAAGATAAGTTAGAGGGCAGTCAGTAAAAGGGAAGTAGTTGAACTGGGGCTAATGATTTACTTTGCATGAGGTGAGTGTAGGTGAATTAACAGAGCCGACGTGGACTGTACGTGGAGAGTTCAGCTTTTTAATCTCCTGAGAAATTAATTTCTGTTCGCAGTATATATCAGTGTCTTTAAGGTCTATGGGCGAGGACCGAAATTGTAAGTGTATATCAATTTATCAGTTGTATGATACAGACATACCCACAGATGTCCTGCTCGAACTTCTCGACCTTTGCCTGGAAACAAACTTTTTCTTTGATGGAAAATACTACCGACAGCAAAAAGGGGCCCCTATGGGGTCACCAATATCAGGCTTTCTGGCGGAGGTCGTCATGCAGAAATTAGAAGCCAGAGCCCTCCCAACAGTCAATCCAAGATTGTGGCTGCGCTATGTTGACGATACATTTGTCATCATAAAACAAGACCAGGTGGAATTGCTCCATCATACCCTCAACGCCACCTTTCCAGGAATTCAATTTACCTTCGAAAGAGAGGCAAATGATCAACTCCCATTTTTAGACGTCCTCGTGCACAGGAACACCGATGGAACACTCCACACGTCAGTTTACCCTAAAGATACATATTCCGAGGTCGTTTTACATTATGGGAGTAATCACCCAATATTCCACAAACGCAGCTCTGTCAACAGCTTGCTCAGTCGAGCAACAACACACTGTTCGGATGAAGAAACATACCGAACAGAAATAAAGTACCTTCGGAAACTATTTTCCGAAAATGGGTATCCTTCAAACATTGTTCGTCGATGCATAGGACAAAAACAGTCCAAAGACAAGCGCCAATCCAGAAATGCAACGACTAAAGCGCCAAAAGCAACGAACTGGCAAACGCTCCCATATGTGAGGAATATATCCAAGCTCGTCGAAAGACAGCTACAAAAACATCAAACACAGGTCGCGCACAAGCCAGCAAGTATATTGCGCACCCAACTCGTACACCCTAGGAACAGGGTTGCCCATTTCGACCGAAAAGGAGTTGTGTACAAAATTCCGTGTTCCAGTTGTGATGCATTATATTGTGGCCAAACCGGAAAAGCTCTATCCAACCGCATCCATGAATAGCAGTTAGCGGTGGGGAGACTAGATCGCCATTCACAGGTTTCCATGCACACACTGGACACAGAACACAAGTTTGCATGGGAGCAAACCCAGATCGTTGGAACCTGCCCATCTAAGAAGGGTCGCGAATTCCTGGAGGCAATGCACTCAGATGAGGCATGCAGTAACAGGCATATCGATCTTGATGTGAATTACAAATCACTGAAGATCAGTTGGAAGCAAAAGCAGCCACCGCCTACCACATGATCAAATACAGATGACAACTATTACCCCCGGCCAAAATAATCACATACAAGTGACAATTATTCCCATTGCCTGCATAACCAAATGCAGATGATGATTACCTACTCACACTGTTACAGACTATATAATTCTGTGTTAGTCATCGGTTTAAGTTAACTGCTTTTGTACATATCTCACATGTCTGAAGACGAGCTGAGGAACCAGTATCGAAAATTCATCTAATAAACATTTCTCTTTCCCAAAGGACTTTATCGCTCATTAAATATATCGCTTGGGATGCCAATATTTCAATATATCAATTTATACTAGTAAAGTCTGTCTGTCGGCAGGAAGGGGATATTTCGCAGTGGTTGACGGGTTTCAATCCAAATATAGACTTATAATTTCGGCCTACGCCTACAGACCTTAAATACATTGGCATATACCGCAAACAGAAATTAATTTCGCAGGCGATTAAGAAGCTGAACTTTCAAAACCGGTATATCAACCAGAAAGCAGACAGGAAAAGTTAGGGGACCCATTGATGAGCCGGATCCCTCGCAGCTGTGTCAAGGAGCGGAAGAATACTGGCGAAACACGAGTCTGGACCTTTTAGCTAGTACCTAGGCTGTTAGTATGGTATGTTACAACATCAATTTATAGTAAGTGGAGCATTGACGGGCAGTGTTATTTCCGGCTGAGCAAGTTTTGAATTCTCGACATCTCTTCTCCAACAAAACACCCGTCCGAGCTGCAAAATGATTGTATACCTGAATGTATGTGTTTCGCCGATCTAGTAGAGAAACGATTAGGTTCCGCTTTGCTTAGGAGCTCGCAACGCAAACCCTCCAGACCGTCACATAGTGTTTACACATCAACGTCACATTGTTTACCTCTTTGGAAGGCTGCCCCCTTACCCCTTGGAATTCTGGCCGTCCATAACCGACTTACTGCACATAACTGAATACGCCCCCCTCCCTTGGCCCCTTCTTTCGACTTTTCACATTGTCACCTTACACATGGAGATCACCGCGACGTTACATGCCAGCTGTCCGTTCCCCCTTCCTGACCCAGCTGCCACGGCTTCCCCGAGAACCAATCGTCCAGACACCCCCCGTCACTGACGCTTTCATATGGCCTCTGTTTATGACCCCCCTCCCGTTCGCGCTGGTGTTTCACACCAATCCTGATGTTACGTGAATCATATAAAATCGGAGCCAGCCCTCTCTCTCTCATTAGCACACACAAGGTTTCTCAAGACTATTTTCGTCCTGCGTGGCGTTATTCTTGAACTTGTGTCGTTCCCTTGTATAGACTCCCTTCGCTCTTGACTTGGTGTGTACATTGTTGAGTAACGTACCACCTTGATG